TGGATAGGGAAAATTTAGCAAGCCCCCTCCTCACACAAATGATTAACTGCTGTAGGCAATTAATGGATGCTATGAGAAAGAAAATCAGTTTTCTCCAGGAATGAGCTACTTTGTATTTTATCCAATCCCAAATAGTCAACCATAAACATACAAACATAGGAGCATTATTAAACAAAACCCATATGTGGTATACACATATATACATATGTGTATATTTAATAGTAACAAATAAGCACAAATAATAAATTTGAAAGGGAGTGGAGGATTTGGAGCAAAGAGAAGAGATACAAATGATATAAATAAAGTACTCATGTATGAAATTCTCAAACTATACAATATTAAATTTGAGCAATGATTATTTTTATCTTTGTGTATTTCCGTCTTCTTTAAGTATTGCTGACGGTTCAGTTTCTTTGGTGCTCCTCTGTCTAAATGTTCCATTCATTCAAATATCATTTGCCATTTGCTTCTCACATGACAACTGCCGAATGTGCTAGGGACACAATAAAGTAGGCTGGTTCCTAACCTCAAGTGGTCTTTATTCATTACCAGAAGACACACATTAATAATATGAGTATTAAAATGCTTAAGCTATAAACTAGTATGTATATACACAAAGATGTGGGAATAAGTATATATATATACATTCAGCTCTCTACATCCAAGTTCTGCATCTGTGGCTTGAAAAACCAGCTTGTTGAAAAGAGTATCACAAGAGACGGCTGAGGATATGGGTCAGTAAGTAAAGTTGCCCACATATGAGGACCTGTTCTTCAATACCTATGTAAAAAAGCTATGTGTGATGCATGCAAATGTTAAGGCCAGCCCAGGGGACACAGAGACAGCAGAGTACCAGAGGTGTGTCTGGCAGTCAGTACAGCCAGTTACCTCCAGGTTCAGTGGAAGTTCCTGTCTTGAAAAATAAATTAGAAATCAACTGAGGTAGACACCTAAGTCAGCTTCTGCCCTACACACACAATACACATGCATACATGGGATATTTGCATCTATACACGTACAAAAATATGAAATAATTGAAAGGAACTGCATCCACACCAATCTTAGTTTCCTTTTCCGTTTTCTCTAAATAATACAATTTAACAATTCTTTACATAAAACATATATTAGTTATTATAAGTAACACAGAGATTTCATTAAGTATATGGGAAAATTTATTGTAGGCCATGTGCAAGTATTGCATTTCAGATAGGAGTCTTGAGCATCCACAGATTGTGAAATACACATGGTATCTCAGAATCATTCCTACAAGCATTGTGGAATGATTTGCACAAATCCTGACATCCTTTTAGAGGTCCAGAATAATTCAATGGATATGTACTTTGAACAAATGAACTACCAGCTGGCTTATTTATATATTGAAAAGGTTGAGCCACAATATTAAAAAAGAAGTTTTACTATAATATCTCAAATCAATAAATAAAGGTATATTTTATAGAATGAAAATTTAGAGTACTCTAAACAGTATGAAGACAACATTTTTGAAAAAATATTATTTATGTGTATAAGTGTATTGTCTGCATGTCTGTGCATCAAGTGTGTGCCTGGTACCCATGGAGGCATAAAAGGAGTTAGAGTTATGAACTGTTGTGAGTTGCTATGGTAACTGTGGGAACTGAACCCAGGTCCTCTGGGAGAGCAGCCTGTGCTGAGCCATCTCTCCAGCCCCTAAGAGAATCTTCCAGAAGTTTCGAGTTTAGTTATAAAAAATCTATAGCATTTCTGAAATACCTGGGAGAAATTTTTAGTTTTGGGGTTTTTTTTTAATGATTTATTCTAAGTGGGGTGGTGATGGTACATACCTTTGATCCCAACACTTGGGAGACAGAGGCGGGGGGTCTCTGTGGGTTTGAGGCTAGCCTGTGAGTTCTAGGACAGCCAGGGCTGTTACACAGAGAAACCCTGTCTCAGGGAAAAAAACAAAACAAAACAAAACAAAACAAAACAAAACACAAAAAAAATCAAAAAGATTTGTTTTAATTTTATGTATATGAGTTGAGTAGTCATTCACCCCTACATGGATGTCTGCTAACCATGTGCAGTGCTCACAGAGAAGGGCACCAGATCTTACGGAACTGTAGTTATAAACAGTTGTTGGCATCCATGTGGATGCTAGGAACTGACCCAGATCTCCTGCAAGAGCAACAAATGCCCTTAACTACTGAGACATCTCACCAGCCCAGAAAAATTTTTACTTTTGCCCTAAATTTTAGTCTAGTAAAACTTGATTAATAATTACAAGTGGATAAAGGATAGAGCTCAATAACAGAGAGTTCAACACACAAAGGCCTGGCTTCAAGGGGAAAAAGAAAATAAAAACAATAATCAGATAAACAAAAGCAGATGGAAATGGCAAGTATACACACAACTTTAAAAGAGAAATATCCATCAAGTATAATCATGATTCAACTTGAAAAAAACACAGTAAAGATGTATCCTTCTTAATATGTGTACTTTGATGTGCCTACCCACATCCCTGCTTAGTTAGAACCGTTACCCCTGCATGCTCTTTAGTAGTCTCTGTACTCCAAACCCATGCCTGTGAGCATGAAGGTAACAAAGTTTTCTTCAACAGCCTGTAGGCTCACAAAATTGAACCTGTTCTTTTATCTGCCTGTGCTCATTTAGCCCACCAAGCAGTCTTTATTAAAGCTGCGACATCAGGCAGTCAAAGTTCATTAATACCATTTATATAATCTCTGCAATTTCAATTAACTCAGCAAGACATTCTACTACATGATAACAGTCTCATTAATTCAATAAAATCCCATAACTATTAACAATATGGTCGATGTTAAACGGGGTGTCACCTAGTACAAAATAATAGCTTTAACAGCTTGTGATGAAACTGAAGGCTTTTCCCCCTTAAATTTGATACGGCTAAATATTCAATCCTTCTACAGCAAGGTATTATTTCTCTGTAAGAATTTAACATGTAGAGGGGGTAATGAAGTCTTTTAAAGTGAAACCCAGGTATGTCACTACTTTCATATTCAGTAATTGATAGGCTTGTGAAATATTATGTTCCATACTCCTATCTAGTCTTTCCTATAAATAGACTGGTCTACATGCATCAAATGATGGCGTACGATGTTACATTATTTTCTCTGTGCAGAATGTGTTATTGAAGACTTCTTTGATTTAGTTTTGTCTTTTTCTGGAGAGAAATGAAGAAAGAGATTGAGGAAGACACTAGATGCTGGAAAGACCACCCTCCCTCTATGATCATGAACTAGTGGAATTTATATTATAAAAATGACCATCCTAACAAAAGTAAAAATCATAAAATTCACATAGAAATGCAAAAAAAAAAAAAAAAAACCCTGATAGCCAAAGTAATCCTGAGCAAAAGCAATGTTAGATATCAAGTCATGCCATGAAAGTTCAGTATATACTGTTACAGTAAATAAAAACAGTGTGATAAAACACAAAATTAGACCCGGAGATCAACGGAACAAAACAGAAGACCCAAATAGGAGTGCTATAACCTGGAGCTTCTTCATCCCAATACTCATCTTTGAGACACTAAATGTGAAAGTACTATGGCAAGTTTTAATACATAAGATATACATGCCAGATTATGACTGAGATCATACATTAATTTAGAAAGAAGGAACATTTGTATCTAAATTTTCCCACTGCAAAACATACTATTTTTCTATTTGTTTGTTTATTACTTTATTATCAAATATATCTGCAGACACTTGAATGAGATGCACATTTTCAATTTAAATTCTAAATGGCTACTGATTGGATGTAACTAATATGAACATATGTGATGGAACTGGGTGTGGCTCATTCCAGAGTTAAGTCTAGCTTGTAAGCCATAACAAACAGAGTTCTTAATATAATTGTAACCTGGCTTTGCTATATTAAAACCTTGTAAAGTTTATTTCTGGTTGAATATTGCCTTTTCCATAGTTATTTTCTGTTTCATTAAGCTACAGTTTGTCACTCAACTAGATGTAACTTTTGATTGCTTTGAATTTAATTTGAACTCTTATATACTTAGAAAACGAAAATATTCAAGTATATACATACATAGTGCAAAATAATAAACTTAAATAAGACATTTGTATGATTTATATATTAAATGATTTATATTTCAAAAAATTAAAATGATCTAGTAATCTTTGGTAATGAAATGAGTCAAAAGTCAGGGGCAAAGAATCTAGTTAAGAATCTTTAAAACTTAGCTGGGCATTGGTGGCACACGCCTTCAATCCCAGCACTCGGGAGGCAGAGGTAGCTGGATCTCTGTGAGTTCGAGGCCTGCCTGGTCTCCAGAGCGAGCGCCAGGATAGGCTCCAAAGCTACACAGAGAAACCCTGTCTCATACAAACAAACAAACAAACAAACAAACAAAAAGAATGTTTAAAACTTAAAAAAAATGCAGAACCTTTCTCAAATTCTACTATGGGTACACTTCAGAGGGACAGAAGTCTTGATTACTTTCAACTGATGCCACATATTAATAACTGCTCTACTGAGAAACAATATTTATGCCAGGCCATGGTGGCACACGCCTTTAATTCCAGCACTTGGGAGGTAGTGGCAGGAAGATCTATGTGAGTTCCAGATCAGCCTGGTCTACAGAGTGAGTTCCAGGACAGTCTCCAAAGCTAGAAAGAGAAACCCTGTCTCAAAAACAACAGCAACAACAACAAAATAAAAAAGAAACAGTATTTACACACAACTCTGAAAAGATTTATTACTAAAGTAGTTGCAAAGATGGGGATCACATATGAACTCCAAAAGTATACAGGGAAGATCAGACACCACAGAGAAGACAACCTGTCTTAAAAGGAGGAACGAGTGTTTCAATATGCATGCTCTTTGCTCTCTCCATCTGGCAAGCAGTGTTACCTTAATACTGTGTTAGGACTTTGGATAGAGCAAAGATTGCATTATTGTCCTGTCATTTGTTGAGCTGTATGGATATTCTCAGTCAATGGGTGCCACCTGTGAGATATTTTCATTACCTGTTTATAAAGCAACTGCTCATTTTCTCTAGCGTAACAGAACAGAACATCTGTAAGAATTTTTCTCACATTTTCTTGTTGGAAAAACTGCATTTCAGGAAATCTGAAAGAAAAGAAAAGAAAACGAACACATATTGAACTAAGTAGGAGTCCAGAAATATCCCCAGACGCTCATCTCTAAAAGGGTTCAAGGTCTGTAGAGTGTTTCACCTCAGCTTTTATCAACTATGATAGGATTAAAAAGGGGCAATAAAGGGAAAGAAAATAATTAGATTCCACAGGAACAAGACATCCTTCAACAACTAAACATTTCATTTTTTATATACTTAAATAATTTCATGTCAGAATTACAATGATTTTAGAAATAAACGTCAGTCAACCTATTTGGGGCTGAGAAGTTACTTTGTTTTTAGCCTGTTTGTAGAGGGTTGTTTGTTTCTTTCAGAGAAACAATCTGGTCTCACTAACTAGCTCAGACTTGTGTGGGAATGGTGATCTTCTGTTTCAGTTTTGGGTACTATATATAATTACAGGTATATGCCACCATGTCCGGTCACCCCATTTGGTATTTTGAAAATATAATAGGTTATTTGTGTAAGTAATAGTTTTCAAAAATAATCATTGTCATTATTTTTCTTGGTAGCAGGATTTCAACTGTGTATTATAGTACCATCAGTTTCATCTGATTAAAATGTAGAATTAAATGGAACACAAGTAAGTAAGCCTTGACTAAATATCTCTCTGCATAAAACTGCACAAGGTGCTTTGATATACTGTGACCATAGAAAAAGTAGATGGATAATCTGCTTGAGAAGAGTTCAAGGAGTTATCAGGGATGTGACAATGCACAACTGAAAGAAACCAGTGAGCAAACAGCAATGCACATACAATGTAAGGGCTGGAGGCAGGTCATCTAGAAGTGTCAACTGGGTTCAGTCAACAATTTGTAAAGAAGAATATGGAACATTAGTGTGACAGAAGGATAAGGAGGCACAGGAGGCGGCCAGTGGATCAGACAGAGTAACTGGAAATGAGAAGAGAAAGGGACATTGTGGCAGAGGAGAGCATGGCTTTGGTATATGAGAAAAGGTGGGGCAAGTTTAGAAAAAAAAGGTGTAACTGAGTTTATAACTGAGTAACACAATTCAGCAAATCCACATTCCTTATTAGGGAAGTGGTAAAAACTATAGGCAGGACTAAGCCTGAAAGAAGGGTATATCAGGAAGGAGATGGTATATCATTCGAAGAAATGAAAAACTCACAAATCTAAGCAGAAAAGCCTGTGTTAAAATTCATATTTCTAGCTGGAGCAAGGATGGCTTAGCAAAGGGGAGGTTGTTTGTTTATCTTCTGAATAAGCATGGCTTATTACTACTATCTAGAGCATGGAGGCACAGGCTATTACTACTACCTAGAGCATGGAGGCACAGAAGGCATTATTGAAAATGGCTAGTACTCTTCAGTAGAGTCTTTTAAAGACCAGTAACAACTGAGTACTCCGTTTTACTTACTGCTTTCTTTTGGAAACCTTGGCTGTGCTGTGCTTCATACTCATGTAGTGCTGGCTAACTGTGAGTATCAGCAGTTCCTCGAGTCCAGGCTATGCTTATAGTTGAGCTATGTTAAGCATCAAGGAGGAAGAATTTTTCAGATCCTATTTCTTTTATAATTGAGGCAATTTCTTCCTGAGTTTATGACTTAATCTTAAACTTTCCTTTCATGTGTAGGTGTGCCTAGACTCAGGTTTCTGGGCTCTACCTTTGGGGGCCGGGAAACCACCTAAGAATGTGAGGAAGGTGAACTCATATCTGTGCATGAACCTTACTGGGACAACCACCCAGATACCCCATCTCCCCACTTGACCTGCAGGCAGCAGTCAGGACAAATGGTCAATATACAATTAACGAAGTAAACTGATATTCTTAGAAAAGCAGCATTACAGGTCGGACAGAACAACACATATTAGTTAGGAAATCTCTGTGTCTTTCCCTTATGCTGTGACTTGAGCTTATCTCAGTTGTTAAAGTAGGTGCAGGAAAAATATCAATCAGCTGGCTCAACAATTTTGTATACTACTATTTTTTTTGTCTATTATTTTGGAAATGTTCTATGTACACTGACAAAAATAAGTACTGTTTGGGTGTTATAATACAATGATCATGGAAAAACTATGAAAACTGTTATACTCACTTTGCCTCATATGTCTATGAATTATGTATATAGTAAGTGCTTGCCATCTAAATATGAAAAATTAAATTACATTGTATACAATTCATGGTTTCATTTAAAGGCATGCTAATCACTTGGGAGATTAAAAGTGAGAGAGCCACAAGAATTAAATATCAGATAGACAATTGAAATTATTCATTTTTAGTAAATATCAACCAACTGAAAATGTGTTAGGCAGCAGCACGCACACTTCTGCTCTCCAAGGTTCAAGTGCCCATTCATGAAGTTTCATGTTACCCTATATATTTTATTTTTTAAGAAGTATGACTTATTCTTTAAATTCTGTTGAAACCATAGCATTGAATAACTGAGCAAGAAATACACACAAGAATTTGAAAAAGAAACACCAGTATGTACTCTTTCATAAGTAAGAAAAAGAACTAATCTTCACAGAAGGAACCTAGAGAAATCAGTACTGGCCAGTACTTGTGGGCAGACAGCATAGCGGCAGCACTGGGCCCCTTCATCCCTAGGGCTGAGAAAGGCACTTCCAGGAAAAGGGTTGTGATTTAAGATTCTCAGAAAGAAAAACCAAGTTCAGAATGTTGACCTACAAGAAATACTTGTTGTACAATATGCAAGCTGAGAGACATTTTTTTTTTTTTTTTTTTTTATAGGAACAGACATAAGAGAGCAGGCACAGAGAGAAGCTCTTACAGGAATGGACATTATCACCTTCTGCGGTAAGCTCTAAGCTTCAGGTCAGCCTCTAGCTCTTCTGTCCTCCTAAGAGTCCCACACAACCATGCAGATTAGTATGGATTTGGGATGGAGAACGTAGTTTCAAAATCAGTGTGGTTCAGCTACCTAAGGCAAATCTTGTTTTGAATAAAATAAATACAAGACTGACCAAATAGAACAAAATTTAAAAATTTGAAAGATAAATAATAACTGTAACTTCATGCAAGAACAGAAAAGCAATAGTACTTTCAGAAAAAAATGTGATAATGAAAAACATTAATATTGAGAATGTTAAAGTTCTTGATTGACAGGCAGTGGTGGCACACACCTTTCATTCCAGCACTCAGGAGGCAGAGATAGGTGGAACTCTGAGTTCAAGGCCAGCCTGGTCTACAGAGCCAGCTCCAGGATAGGCTGGGACAGAGAAATCCTATCTCAGCCCATCCCCCCAAATGTTCCTGATTGAGACAAACAACAAAAAAACAAGTAGGAAAATAGGAGGGAAGAAAACCCACAATATAATAGGAGTAGAGACAAAATTAGTCTTTATTTATTTTGGTTTTTTGAGGCAGGGTTTCTCTGTGTAGCTTTGGAGCCTTTCCTGGCACTCATTCTGTAGAACAGGTTGGCCTTGAACTCACAGAGATCTGCCTGCCTCTCCTCCCAAATGCAGGGATTAAAGGCATGTGCCACCACTGACTGCCAACACATTCGATTATTAGATTAATGAAAAGCTGAAATCCAAGCAAAGTCACTTTTATACTTGGCCAGAAAATTAAAATAGGATTGGAAGACAGTTTTGTAATACTACTTAAAGAAATCTATATGATTAATGCAATCATCATAAGAAACCTCTATGCCATTTATGACAGGTAAAAGAAATCATGTATACAAGCCCATGAGGGCAGAATACACCCACAGGTGCACCTTTGGCAAGTGTCACTATGATCAATAGGTACATGGTGGAGAAATGGGAGAGAAGAGGAGTGGTTTGTGCACTGTGGAGAGAAGCAGAATTATAGACGAAAAGGTGGTAAGAACAGTTTAGTATGGTGGCCTACAATGCCACATGGGGCCAAGTGATATCCAGGTCTGAGCTGTGACTGAAGGCTCTGTCTGGGTCTGTGGTACTACCCAGCTGGGGTCTGTGTTGACGTCTGTGACCCATGTTACTATGGGGGCCATGGGAGAGGTGGCCCTAATGGTCTTGGCACTGGAGAACTTGTCCCACCCTTCGCTGGCTGCCACAGTGGTAGAGCTGGCCACAACCATCTATGGCTCTGGGAAAACTGCACCCCCCAACCCAGCTGCTGCAATGGAAGAGCTGGCCCTGCACACAGGAGAGTTGCATCCACCACTCAACATGAACATGGGAGAGATGGCCCTGATCTTCACCTGAGGAGGGTAGTCCTGGTGAAGCTCCTGACCAAAAAATTCAGTTACCACCCAGGCCAACATCCAGGGCTTTGAGTTGGCCCACTCTAATATTTACCCCATCTATGACATTCTAGAGCATGTGAAGTGACTGGTCCTGTGGAACCATGGCCACTGGATCTCCATGACCAACAGTGGGGTAGCTGAGTGAAGTTTTGGTGAGGGTCCAGTATTGATGATTTATCAGAAGTCTGGAACCAGACCAATAACTCATTGCAATGAACATTACAAGTATAACTGGGGAAAAGAGTATACTGTGTGACACACTGCCTTCCCAAGGCCACTAAGACAAATGAATAGATGATGGAGAAGCAGGAAAGATGGAGAAGTGAAATGTTTTTCTTTTCTTTCCTTTTTTAAAAAATTTTCTTTTGTGGGAACTACAAGAGTGAATGAGGACATGGAAAGAGTGGGAAATGAGTAGGATTGGAATATATAATGTGGAATTCCCAAAGAATCAATGAAAAATTATGTTAAATAAAAACATAAAGAAATCATATTTAGCCATAAAATAATCAAAATACAAAAGATAACCATGAACAAACACTACATTTATCATACTAGATGATTTCAAACTATATTACAAAGCAACAACAATATAGTATTGGTATAAAAAGAGACACATTGACCAACAGAGGAAAAGCAATGTCTTTTGTTTTTTTGACAATGACATAAAGAATATACAAAGAGAAAAGAAACAGTCTTTTGCTGGGTGGTAGTGGCACATGCCTTTAATTCCAGAACTCTGGAGACAGAAGC